TTTGACCTTGTCCTTTCCTATTTATGTACTTTTTGTTTTTCTCTTGCCTAATTGTTCTGGCTAATGTTAGGAGTGTGTTGAATGGCAGTGGTGATAATGGGCATCCTTGTCTTGTTCCTGATTTTAGAAGGAAAGCTTTCTATTTTTCTTTGTTTAATATGATGTTGGCACTAAGTTGACCATAAATGGCTTTTATCAGATTAAGATAAAGTCCTTTATACCTATTTTCTTCAGGATATGTCATGATGGATTTTGTATTTTATCAAAGGCATTTTTTATATCTATTGAGATGGCACATAATTTTTTTGCCCTTACTTCTGTTTATGTGAGGAATTACATTTATTGATTTGTATATGTTGAGCCATTCTTGCCTCCCTGGAAGGAACCTACTTGGTCCTGGTGAGTGATCTCTTTGCTGACTTTTGTTTCTCTGTTTGCTAGTATCTTGTTAAGGATATTTGCATCTATGTTTATTAGAGAAATTGGCCTTTAGTTCTCTTTCCTGGTTGGGCCTTTGTCTGATTTAGAGATCAGGATAATGTTAATTTCGGAGAATGATTTTGGAGTATTCCTTCCTTCTCCATTACATTAGAGTTTGAAGAGTGTTGGTGTTTGATCTTCCCTGAAGTTCTTACAGAATTTGGCTATGAATGCATCAGGTCCTGGGCTTTTCTTTTTTGCTTAATCAGTACTGTCTTTATTACTGTGTCATTTTCATTGCTGGATTGTTAAAAATTTTTAAGTCTTCTTGGTTCAGTTTTGGTAATTCATTTGTACTAGGAATCTCCATTTCTTCTGAGTCCTCCAGTTCTCTGGCATATTTGTGTAGTGATTGCTAATAATATTCTGGCTTCTCGCAGTGTTTGTTGTAATTTCACCTTTTTCATTTCTAATTGAATTGACTTGTGTCTTCCCTCCCCCCTTTTTTTTATAAGATTGGCTAAGGTTTTGTCTATTTTATTTATTCTTTCAGCAAACCAGCTTTTTGATTCATTTTTTTGTCTCCATTTAATTGATTTCTGCTCAGATTGTTATAATTTCCTTCTTTGTACAAGCTCTGGATTTGGATTGTTCTTGTTTTTCTAGGGCCTTGAGATGCATCATTAGGTTATTTATTTGGGCTCATTCTATGTTCCTGATGTGTTCATGCACTGCTTAAACTTCCCCCATAGGACTGCTTTCATTATATTCCATAAGTTCTGGTATGTTATAGTGCAATTATCTAATTCTAGGAACTGTCTTATTTCTTCCTTAATTTCTTCTGTGACTTTTGGGTTATTCAAGACTGTGTTGTTTAATTTTCATATGTTTGTGTAGTTTCTGTGATTTCTTTTACTGTTGATTTCTAGTTTCATTGTACTGTGACCTGATAATATATATATATGATAAAATTTTGATTCTTTTGCAATTTACCTGGGCATGCTTTATTGGCTAGTACATGGTCGGATTTTGGAGAAACTACCATGTGCTACAGAAAAGAATGTGTACTGTGTTGTTAGATACAACGCTTATGAAGTAAATTTGTTAAACGATTAGGTTCACCTCATATTTTCTTTGTTAATTTTTTGTGTAGTTGATTTATTTGTGGTAGTGGGGTCTTAAAGTAACCCCTGCAGGTGTATTGATGTTTATCTGATCTTTTATGTCTTTTAGTTTTTGTTTCATGAAGTTGAGTGCACTGTGGTTTGTTGTATATGTTTATAATTTAATTGTTATTGCTTCCTTTTGAATGGTTCTGTTAATCGATGTCATGTCCTCCTTTGCCTCTTTGGGTCAGCTTTGGTTTGAAGTCTATTTTGTCTGAAAGTAAGAAGGGGTAATCATACTTATTTTTAGGTTCCCATTCTACAGACTATTGTTTTCCATCTTTTGATGTTTTTTTGTTTTGTTTTTTGGTACTGGGGATTGAATTTAGGACCGTATGCTTGCAAGGCAGGCGGAGGAACCACTGAGCTAAATCCCTGGCCCATCTTTTGATTTTTTTAATCTGTGAATTTCTTTTTGTGTTAAATGTGTTTCCTTTATACAGCATTTGGTTGGATTTTGCTTCTTGATCCATTCTTGCCAATCTGTGTCTTTTGATTGTTGAATTGAGTCCATTTACACTGATAGTTATAATTGATAAGTATTGACTTGATCCTGTCATTGTTTTATTTTCCTGTTGTTGTTTTGCTCTTTTCCTTTTACTTAGTTGCTATTCCTGCCTGATGCATTCATATTATTGGACCCTTTGACATTGTTAGCTTTATTGACTCCTTCTGCAATATCCTTGAGAATTTTTTCAGTGTTGGCTATTTCTTTAGGTTCTCTTTATCATCAGAATTCCTTGTGGGCCGGAGATTTAGCAGTGCTGCCTGCTTTCCAAGTGCAAGGACCAGAGTTTGATCCCCGGTACCAAAAAAAAAAAAAAAAAAAAAAAATTTTTTTTTTTTTTTGGCAGGAAAGCAGTTTGGGTTGGAAGTTTTCTTTTAGAGGTTGAAACACTTCATTCCAAACTCCTCTTACCTTTAAGGTTTGTGTAAGAAATCTTGTATGGGTTTTCCTTTATAGATGATTCAGTGCTTTCCTATAGATTCCTGTAAGATTCTGTTCTTGTGTTGGATTTCTGATGTTTTAATATGTGGTATGGTGTGGTTTTTTCCCTTATGGTGGCTGTTTGGGTTTGTGTATGCCTCATTTACCTATGTGTTAAATTCTCTTTTCATGTCTGAATGGTTTTCTGCTATTCTGTAATCAGGGTTTTTATGCTCTTTGTGCCATCTTCCAATTTTTCATTAATTCTAATTCTTATGTTAGTCTTCCTTGACTCGTAGCTGCTAGATACATTCTTCATCTTCTCATTTTTCACATGATCTCTCATTAATTGATCATTAATTACAGCCCTGACCTCTGGATCTGATACTTGTCTTCACGTTGGTCACTTCAGCTACCTATACTTTCATACTTTACCCATACTCTTTGAAATTTTTTTGTATGAACTCTCCATTCTTTCCTATGCTGGACACCTGTGTTTTACATTTTTTCTTTAACAGCACTAGATTTTTATTCTTCTAGACTTACTGTTCACTTGTTTCATTAGGGTCATTATATGACTAGTGATAATCTTCTTTAAATTTACCACACACCTTATTAGAAGTAGAAGTCCAAGGTGCTATCCATTGTGCCACAGAGCCACCTAGCATCTTATTTAACTATTTTAACTCCATTGATTTCCTTTCAGACCTTTCATTGATTTCCTCCTCCTTGATGACCCCAAACCAGTATTGAGACCAAGAGTTGGGAAGTTTTGGAGGAATTTTGTTTCCTTGTCTTTGCATGTTTCTATATATTTGTGGGGGTTTTTTGTACTAGGGTTTGTGGGTTTTTGGGAGTGAGCCACAGTTTTGTTTATGGCCCTCAGGCAAACCAGATATTGGTAAACATAAAAACAATTGTTTCGGCTTGTGTTTAGATGTCAGCACAAGGCCTCATGAGGTCGTGGGTGGGGCTTTTTCAGAGGTGGCTGGATCTACAGTGGAATTGATTCATTGTGCAATGCTAGGCTCAAGGGCACTAGGATTAAGGGTGTGAGTGCTACCCATAGCAGTCTGGATAAGATAAAAGGGGCAGACAGATGCTGTTAAGGTCCCTGTTGTTTTTGCTGTCTTCTCCATGTACCACCCTGCCTTGGAGCCGGCCAATTATGGACTGAAACCTTTACAAACTGTGAGTTAAATAAACCTTTCCTCTCTTAACTTTTGGTGTTGGGTATTTTGAGAGAAAATTAACTAAGACACCAATTGACGACAACAACTATATCACCATGGCTATAATAGTAAAGTCAGCAATAACTGTGTCAAATATCAACTGGATACTGACAAACCCTAAGAACCACTCATGAACTGGCCTTATCCAGAGCAAAAACCTCTATAATTTTAGTGGGGACACATAGGCCACCCCAAATTTTTTTTTTTTTTTTTTTTTTTTTTTTTGGTACCAGAGATCGAATTCGAATCTTGTGCTTGCAAGGGAGGTGGAGAACCACTGAGCTAAATCCTAGGCCTGGGCCACCCAAATATTAACCTGTAGTAATTCAGACTACTAATTTCTGCTTCATGTAGGCAGCTGTGCAAAAGCTCACATATACCGGTAACTGGACTAAATGCCATCTCCTTCAGATCCACCCGCTTTGAAGGTCATACTTACCAGGCCTCCCACCACAGTATACAAGATCTCCTTGCCTGAGCCTCTCAGTGGATCCCAGGAGACTACTGTTGAACCGTCACCCTTTCCAAGCCTGTCTCTCACCTGTCTGTGTGGTAGGGGGTACCGCCTCAGTCTTAAAGTGAAACTCTTCTCTTGGGTAGTCTTCTGTTGTCACTTCTGCTGTCTTGTGCTGTGAGAATTTAGGAGTAGAGCTGGCTGGGATTTGGTAGTTTGGCTGCTCTCTTTCCACCCACATGAATTGTGCAGGCCCTGGGCCAGGGGGTCAGTATCCAAGAACACAAGTTTTAAAGGTGAAATTGAATTGGGGTAGCCTTATCTCGATTTTGTTTGTTTTGCCACTTTAACCACTTTTTTCATTAGTACCTGTTGTAGTACATGTTTCCATTCCTTGTGTAGAGTTGGTGCATGTACACAGCACATCTTCGTTCCTTTCTTCATCCCCTATCCTTCTATCCCTTCCCCTTCCATTCATCTTTTCATACCCTACCTCCCCTGCTTCTTTAGGTATAAATGATGTGTACAGTATTCCAGAGTTTGGAGGACATTGTGACACACTGATTTAAATGACTGTACAGAGTAGAATCCTTTAAAGCTATAACTGAAATTTGAAATACTCAATTCATACATTCATATTTGTAAAAATATTTGAAATTTAAATATTTTTAATTTAGTGCTCGATTTCTTTATTCCAACAGAAATTATGCCCTTTAAATCTTACTTGATGAAAGTATAAAACTACTACAGTAGTAATACTGTACATGGTCTGATTTAATTTATATAACATTTCATTGCAGGTACTGAGGATGTTGTGGGTCCTGAAGGAATGGAGAAATTTTGTGAAGACATTGGTGTAGAACCTGAAAATGTAAGTTTCACTCACAGAGTAGTATTGTTCAGTTATTTTTCTTTCTTAAATCTTTTGGCTTTTTACAAATAAAGCAATAATAAATAATGATATATTCATTTTTATGATGCCACCTAAGCATTAAGTTCCAATTATGGTTTGATTTGTAAGTGTGCTTTTTTTTCTTGTGAGTAAAAAAATGTTAACTATGGTCACTTTTTCCCTATGGTTTAATTGCTAATATCTAAAAGGTACAATAATTATGTACTTAGAGTAGATGTTTAAATAGTGGTGTGCAGCTGTGTACTTACAATGGCAGATCGGTGAAGGGGGGCTAAGTCCTGTGTGCTGTGTATCTTTGTCTCTCTTAATAGTTATTTCAGCCTGATGTAGAGTTAGTCCTAGATTTTGAATAATTATTCATGAAGGTTTTGAGTAGATAATAATTATGAATTTTTCATAGATCTTTTACTTTTAATTAAATTTAGCTCAAAAAGTTACTTTTTAAAATGTAAAATCACTAAGTTCTTAAATGTCAGTTATTTGCTTAATTATTTTTGTCTAATTTTTAACATATGCTACTGTTCAATACTTTTTTCCTTGTTCCCACATAATCTGTCTTACATCAGAATGAGAAATCATTCTCATATATGTGCCCTGACTCATAAATGATGTAAGGTGATTTTATATTAGCCTCTAGTTTAGCAACTATATCCTAGATCCTAAAGGAAGTTGTGACCTAGAAGAGATCATCCCCTGTATGTAGACTTTCTGAGACATCTGGTGCCCATTCATGTGTTATGCTTTCATAGAAAACTTGAGAATTGAGACCTCATGTGTGTTTTTGTTTTTTGTTTTTTAATTTTTGTTTTGGTAACAGGGATAGAACTCGACCTTGTGCTTGTGAGGCAGGTGGTGGCACCACTGAACTAAATCCCTGGCCCACTCATGTGTGTTCCTTAAAACATTTTTACCTTACTGTTTTTGTGCCTGGTGGCTTCTAACTCTACTCCTGTTTTGTCTCCAGTGACACTTAAATTTTCTAAAATGCATTGGAATGTCTTTCACTACATGGATTTTTGTCTTGTATGTTTCATTTTAATGGGTCCCAGTTCATGTATCTTCATAATTTACCTTGGTGTAAAAATTTGGGAAAATAGAGCCAATGGTATTTCTTCAGATCTAGTTCATGGACATAGGAAAAGAACATTTTACTGACTTTGAGAAGGAAGTTTGCTGCTGGGGTCTGAGGTAGGCTTGACACAATATTTTCCAAGTGTTGCCAGAAGGGTGAGAGTAAGTTGAGCCTGACAGTAAGTCTAGGGGGTCCATCCAGAAGACAGTAATGAACATATGTTCAGAGGAGCAGGCAGCAGGGCCCAGGCCCACAGTCAGATGAGATTGGGATACTAGGGTTAAACTGTGGATGTGTAAAGGCTTAGCTGAACATTTAGTCTCAGGTGGAACAGCCTGTCTCTGAGGGGAGTGCCGATGTTGAGTCTGACTGGAAAGGATTGAGAGGAAAGTTTGTCACCCCTAAAGCAGTACTCAATAAAAGCTAGTCCTGTCATTTTTTGGCAGTTAAGAGTCCTTTAGTCTCTGTTTCTATAGGAATAAATAATGTGAAATCATGTTGAAGATGTAAGACCAAATTCAGAATATTGTTCTGAGATTCTATTACCTACTGTAATCCCTAAGATAACAGCAAGAGAAGCTGTATTATTTCCTATCATCTCTTTTTTAAGTCTTGTCTGAGTTGCATTTTGAAAATGTTTAAAATTGTCACTTCGCCTGATATTCATAGGTTATGAAACTTAAGCAGCTGATAATGTGTACTTTACCAAGATAACGGCAACTTCGTTTTTTAGCATCCTTACTCGTTAACTATTTCATGTATAAATTGTTCCAGGGGTGAATATCTGCTTTGGGCTGCTTAGCCATATCTCATTTACTTGTGTGTGTTCTTGGGCGCTCGCCCTTTTTTTTTTTTTTTTTTTAACTTAATTTTTTTGTGGGACTTAAAATTTTTCTAGTAGAGGGCTGAAGAGAGATATTGTTTACGATTACATAATTTGCATTAAAAATATATTAGTTCATCTATGTAAATTGATACATAACAGTCAGCATCCTGAGAAATCTGAGGGCTGCGGAGAAAATCTATTAATATGTGAATACTTTAAAGAACTTGTAACCCCTTCTTTGGAGAAATTTTTCTTAGTGGCTCTTGAGTCTCTTAAGTGACCATTTTTTTAACCCATTTAACAATAATTTTAACCTATTTAGTAATTAGTACTAATCAGCCCAAATGACCTGACTAGTAATTTAGATATTTTTAAGATGAAAAGTGAATTTAAAAAAATGTACCCCTATATTTGATGAAAAGTTGCAGAACTTAGTAAGTTCTCATGGATATTAATTTCCAAATGGAAAACCATAAAATCAGCATTAAGAGAAAGCTTTTCATTAATCCTCCAGTTATCAAACAAATTTTAGCCTACAGACTAGTTTGTTGGCCAGCAGATAAAAGGATAAATCTTCTGAATCTCCTGAATGCTCCTCTTCTTGGGTTTTTAAAGTACAGGTGGGCCCTTAGAGGCTCATTAAATCATGTAAAATTGCTTTTCTAAGTGATTCTTGATTTATTACATTTTTATATCATCTTGACCCCTTTACCTTTCCATATCACCATTGTCTGCCCCAGTTAGACACACAGAAGATGTTTTGGGGAAGTTCTTCTAGTAGTTAAAGGCAAGCCTTAACCTCTGTAAGGAAATCATATTAAAGAGTATCCTGATTTCCTGGTCAGTTGTATTACAGAAACTTGTATTTCTGCTGAGTATCTGTTTCTGTCACAACAAATGCAGAGTGCCCATCAACAGTGGGTACCTGACCCCAGGCTAGGATTTGGTTGTGCATTGTTCGTGATGACTATCCAGAGGTGACTAGCCCTGCAGAGTGCCAGGCTGGTCCTAAGAAAGGTCTTTATCCTTCTAGGACTGACATACTCTATTTCTTAGTTACTGCTACTCTTTCTTTGGGTCTTTGAGTTGAATGAGGACAACTTCCTCCTCTTTGCCCAGTTATGGATGGTCTTAGCCCTGTTTCTATGAAAGACTTTGGATGGCTTGGGGCTGGGTGTACCCTTGAAATGTAATTTTGTCTTCGTATCTTCAGGTATTTAGTATAACTTACCTTTGGTTCTCTGTTCCATCCTTTCCCTAAAGTAACCATGTGAAATACTGATAAAGCAGTATCATAAATCTGAGTTGTCACAATTCCTGCCTCTGCAGATTCAGAAGATTCACTAAAAACAAGAATGGCACAGAAGGACTGGTGCCCGCTGAGCAGCAGTTGGGGCATGCCCCTCATCCTGGCTCATTCCAGGCTCAGCACTGTTTTAAGTGGAACCACAGGCTACTTTAAAATGATTCCCCAAGCAGATAGAGTGGTGTCTATCTGTAATCCTGGAACTTTGGGAGACAGCCAAGAGGACCAGTTCAAACTCAGCCTGGGCAACTTAGTGACTTATCCAGACAGACCCTGACTCAAAAAATTTAAAAAGTGCTGGGAATATAGCTTAGTGTGAAATCCCTAGGTTCAATTTCAATCTCCAGTAAGATTTACCCGGCAGTATATGTGGCTCAGTTCACAAACACTGATGTGTGTGAGATACGTCCCCCGTGCACATCTCCCAATATCCAGCATTTTATTTGTTAACACTCTTCTGTATCTTGCTGTTTCACTTAGTAGATCTTAGAGACCGTTCCGTATTTTCACAGATAGCTCTACCTGATTTATGTTAACAGTGTCACAGTATTCCTTTATTTGGAATATATTTAGCAAAGAAATATTTAACCAGACCCTTATTCATAGGCATTTGATTATTTTTATCCTTTTGCCACTACAAACTGTACTACAGTACTCAGTATACAGTATAGTTTTGTGTACATGTACAAGTATATCTATAAGATAGGTTTCTCTGGTGGAATTGCTCAGTGAATAACTCCTTAATTTTGATTCTTTTAATTTCCATGGCTGTGTAGCCAGAAAATGCATTTTTTTCCAAACCCAGTTCAGCAGACTGCATTCTCAAACTTTATAGATGCTTGCCAAACTAGAACTGTTTTGAAGTTACTCTCTTCATATTTCAGTGACTAAACTTATTATTGAGAATAAGAAGCATTTGTAAGGTGTTGGTGTATTAATTGCTGAGATTTGATTTGTCTTTTCCTTTTTTTTTAAATAGGTAGTTATGCTTGTGCTGGCTTGGAAATTGGATGCACAAAACATGGGTTATTTTACTCTACAAGAATGGTTAACAGGAATGACTTCTTTACAGTAAGTCCCAAGGCTCTTAGGGGCCCTGCACCTTCCTCAGGTGGTTTCCTCTTCCTTGGGAGCTCAGGAGTGCTTGGAAGGAAATTAAGTTTTTATATCCTTATGTAAGCAAAATGTTAGTATTCTTCTAGAGCAGCTCTGTCTAGTAGAAGTAGGCCAACTTTTTCATGTATGTGAGCTACACATATAGTTTAAAATTTTCTCATTGCTACATTAACATAGAAAGAAGCAAGTAAAATTAGTTTTATTATATTGTATTTAACCCAAAATACCAGAATATTATCATTCCAATATTTGTTCTGTATTTGAAAACAATGAGATATTTTACATTCTTTTTTTAATAATACATCTTCAAAAGCTGGTGTGTATTTTACATTTATGATCCATGTAGTCAATTACTGTTAGATGTGTTTCAAGTGCTCACTAGTCACACATGCCTCCTGGCTATTATTGGAGGGTGCATGTTTATAGCATATTAAAAAGCAAAGGCTTAAGGGGCTGGGGATTTAACTGAGTGGTTCGGTGGCCTGCCTTGCAAGTGCAAGGACCGAGTTCAATCCCCGGTACCAAA